CATGACCCGAGCCGAAGGTAGAGGCTTAACCCGCTGAGCCACCCAGGCGCCCCTCACATATCACTTTGAAATGTACTTTCTTCTTCTCTCTCTGAAATGTCTGATAGAATGCTTGCAATGCTACACAATGTTTTTTTTTTTCAAGCCCACTTTACAGACATGAAGACTGAGGCTCAGAGGGCTGGCAGGCTGTTCCCAAAACTGGCAACTCACAGAGCGACTGCTATCTCTGGTCTGACACATACTTGCCCACTTCCTGGCTCTGGGTGTGACTGCCGTCCCTCCAACACTGGCTGGGGGATATTCCATAAGCCAAACCATGTGATTTAGCAGCTGAGACGTTCTTTGTTGGGTGAGAAACACTGGGGATGCTCCAGCCTCCTCTGGCTCAGAGTAGAAAGACCCCACCTGAGGCTTTCTGCCTTGGGAATCGGGGGGGAGCCCTGGTCCGATAGACTCTGCCTTTGTGATATTGCAGAGAACTGTTGGGGTTTTAGTCCTTAGTTCAACACCTACATAGGGCTTCAATATGAGGCCAGATTTTGCTGCCCACCTTGACCTTGGTCAGTTGTGTGATCTTACCTGTTGTGCTCTTAGCCCCAGTGTCGAAAGAACATGAATCCACTTGCCTTTTTGTGTGGCATTGGTATCTTTTACATCATACTTGCCCTTGGTGACTCGCCTTCTTCCTTCAGATCTCTGTTCATCCTGCTGCCTGGCACAAGGTGGGACCCCGACCCCTGGCACATCACTTATGTGATATGTTCTTGATCATTTGTTTGATCACTGCCCTTATCTCCACAAGATGTGAGGCCCTTGACAACAGGGACTGGGTCCATTGCGCTCACGGCAGCATGTCAAGTGTCTAAAATATACTCAACACAGAAGAGATGTTCAAAAACTTATGGTTGTGTGGACAGCCCCTGGAGATTTAGATTTTTCTCCTTATTTTATTTTTTTAAAGATTTTATTTATTTATTTGAGAGAGAGACAGTGAGAGAGAGCATGAGCAAGGAGAAGGTCAGAGGGAGAAGCAGACTCCCCATGGAGCTGGGAGCCCAATGTGGGACTCGATCCTGGGACCCCGGGATCATGACCTGAGCCGAAGGCAGTCGTCCAACCAACTGAGCCACCCAGGCATCCCTCTCCTTATTTTAAAACTGAGAAAAAAAAAAAAAAAGCCAACCCTGGGAATCAGAGAAGTGAAGCCTTTCCCCTCTTTCCCCACGTTCCCTGCAAACTGTCTTAAAGCAACGTTTCTGAAAACTCGAAGACGTGTACACAGTTTTCCTGAGGCTCTACTTAGACACAGTTTGGAGTCAATATTTCTGGGTAGGGGTGCAGGATTCTGAATTTCCTACCAGCTTTCAGGTGATACCTATGGTGGAGGTCTGAGGACCACTTTGAGTAGCCAATCCTTAGAGCACATGGCTGCAAAAGCAAACCTTTCTTTCATTCCCAGATAGTCAATGAGCATTGACTGTGTGCAAGGCTTTGCTGTCACCTGTACTGTCGTATTTACCTAATCAGCTGTGGGGCTGGAGCAAGTTGCTTCCTCTGTCTGAACCTCCGGTTCCTCTTCTGTAGAAACAAACTCATGAAAAACAAACAAACAAACAAACAAAACCCAAAACAACAAATTCATGAATGTGATATTGCAGGGCTGTTGGATAATTACACAGCAACAACAGTAGCAATAACAGTGACTGGTATTTACTAGGCCCTTCCTCTGTCCTATGTGTTTTATGTGCACTATCTTTTTTTTTAATTTTTAATTTTTTTAATTTAATTTAATTTTTTTCAGTGTGGCAAGATCCATTGTTTATGCCCCACACTTACGTGCACTGTCTTTTAAAATTATTCCTGCTACTTTAGGAGGTGGTGCTAATGAAATGTCCATGGCAGATGTAAGGAGCTCTGTCTGGTGGTTCAGGGAACCCAGGGTGAAGTGTGGCTGCCTGGTGCACAGCCAGGCTCCACCAGCTGTAGGACTTCGGGCGAATCAGTCACTCAAAGAGCTTTCAGCCTCAGCTTTGTCATCTGCAAAATGAGTGGGGGAAAGTGGTGAATAGATCTACAGGGCTTAAAACAAGATCATGGCTCATGTGGGCAAATGCCATTCCTGCTGTAACTGCCCAGTCACTACTGGCACACAGTAGGTCCACAGTGAGCAGAGCCCCTCCGGGCTTTGAGGGCTCTTTCTCTTGTGTGTCCAGGATTCTGCCTGGATTAGTGTACTCTGGCCATGCCCCCTGACCCCTCTGTGGATGGACCTGTCACAGGGGTAGTCTGCCTCCATAGAGAGGAAGAAAAAGCAGGCAGGTGGGGGTGTTGCAACCCACTCCACTGAGGGCTTTAGGACCAGTCGCCTGAACTCCTGGCCCATGGGAGTGAGGGAGGGGGGAGTTTAGGGCATCACCAGCATCCTACCAGTGTCAGGAGGACTCTTTCCCCATTCTTTGCTCAGTAGCTTTGCCAGGAGCCCCAATCCCTCATGTCCTCTCTCACCTAAAAGAACCCAATAGACAGTTCTGGACAAGACCAAGGAAGGAGCCCAGAGGGGAACACTAGTTCCGTTGATTGATGCATCCTGGATGTGAGAGGATAATCTACTGGGCAATGGGAGTGTCTTAAGAATTCTCCTCTGGGTCACCTCATTGCCTGAGATTCCACCTTGTAAATGTCCCTGGATTCATAGGGCATTGTCCCTTATGAACAGTGTGGAGCAGCATGGCAGAGGGGAAAGGCTTGGGCTTGGGGAATATGACAGACCTGGCTTCCTTCCAGCTCTGCAACTTGGGCTAGAGGCTTGCCCTCTCTGAGCCTCAGTTTTCTCTGCTGTTAAATAGGTATCCTCCCTCCTGTGGACGTCATCTCCTGGGTCTCTCTTCCTGATTCAGGGCACTGGCTCAGAAGCTGAGGACAGGGTGAAGCATTAGCCCATAGGCAGATCATCTGGCACACAGTAGGATTACTTTATGTAGCGCACCTGGCACACTGAAGGAACATTTTGTGCGCAGTACCTGGCACTCAGTGGACATGCTTTATGTGGAGCCCCTAGTACATACCCCAGTAGGCACTCTTTATGTAGTATGTCTGGCACTCAGTAGGTATGCTTTATATAGAACACCTGTCATACTGTAGTCAGATTTATGTAAAGTACACAGCAAATTGCAGGTACACTTTGTGTAGAGTACCTGGCACACAGTAGGCATGTTTTATGTAAAGTATTTGCACAGAGTAGTCTCACTTTCTGTAAAGCATCTGACGCATAGTAGGTGTGCTTTATGAGGGCATCTGGCACACAGTAGGTATATTTTACATAGAATACCCAGCACACAGTAGGTGCGCTTTACATAAAGTACCTAGCACATGGAAAATGTGCTTTAGTTAGAGCTCCCAGCACTTGGAGACATGCCTTAGGGAGGGTACCCAGCGCACAGTAGGCATGCTTTAGGTAGACCACCGGGCATACATAGGATTTGTGGAGAGTACCTGGCACACAGTGGGAGCACTTATATAGTGTACCTGACACATAGTAAGCACAGTTCATGTAGAGTTTCCAACACACTGTAGGCATACTTTTTGAGGTGCCCAGTACACAGTAGGCACACTTTACACACAGTCTTCTGCAAGAGTAGGTTTACTTTATTGGAGTGTTGGCACACAGCAGCACAAATACTAGAGTCAATCCTTTCTCTTCAGCTTGTCATTTTGGAGGGTTCTGATTCTTTCCATCTTCCTGTGGAACTATCTTCTGTCCTAATCTCAGGCCCTCATTGGAACACCCTCCATTTTCCAGATGGTAAGACTGAGTCCAAGGGTGCTGGCACAGCTCACAGTCACAGCCAGGATGGGGCAGAACTCCATGCAGGGTCTCCCAGCTCTGCTTCCTCTGTCTGGCCACACCGTCTCCTGGCCCCCTGACCCCCTGCAGCCTTACCTCCTCACCCACAGGTGTCCCCTTCTGACTGGGCCCCTGACCCCCTGAATCTGATGCAGGTAACCCCCAGCCAGGCCGGTTCCTTTGTTCCTGCCCCAGCAGTCATGTCTCAGCCCAGGCCCTGGGCTGCTTGGAGGCAGGACTTGAACTCCTGCCAGGGTGTGCAGTCCGGGGGCCAGAGGCTTCCTGGTTCTGTGCTAAAAACTAGTGCAGGCCACCCTCCTGACTCACGCATACAGAGGGGAGCCCCAGATAAGTTTTGGGCCTGATCCTGTTCCCATGACACCTGAACTCTCAAGTTCAAGTTTTTACCTGCTGCACCCTGGCTTTGAAAGGGCAGGGGTGGCTGTTAACTTGGGAGCCCAGTGTTACCTTTGCCCATCCCCCAACTCACCCCCTACCCCACGTGGGAAGCACATTGAGTTCTGAGGATCCAGCACCCAAACTCTATTGATAACACTGAAGTCCTCCTCCCCCACCCACCATTTGGGCCCCTGCCAGGTGGGGAGGAAGAAAGCCGACAGGCGGGATTGGCTGGCTTAGCCTGGCCCCTGGCAGCATTGTCCCCTAGGTCAGGGGCCAGAGGCAAAGACTTCCCCAGAGGAGAGGAGAGGAGAGGAGAGGAGAGGAGGTTGTGTGGCTAAGCTGCTCCTGACTGAAGGTACCAGGCTGGGTGTTCTGGCCCTGGGTGGGGAAGGATGCTGCCCACATGGGGATGAATCCAGGGAGCAGCTGTCCTGGGGTAAGAGGGGCTACCAGTGGGAGGTTAACTATCTTTCACTCTGTCTCTGTTTCCCTTTTTCTCCCTCTCACTCTACCTCTTCCTCTAGAATTCTTCTGATTCTCTTCCCCCTTTGGCAACCCCCCTCCCCCCCCCCCCCCCGCCAGCCCCACACAGTTTGCCCAGTTCCCAATGTTCACTTTCTCTGCCCCTTCCTGTCTCTCTCCTGTCCCTGTCCCTCTCATCCTGGGTCTGTTTGTGAGCAGTCTGGGGAGCTCACCTTTCTGCCCCATTCCTGGGTCTCAGGAACTCACCCTCTATTCCCTCTGTCCCAGGATGTCACAGCTGAGCCTGTCCTGGCTGGGACTGGGGCAGCTGGCAGCCTCCCCGTGGCACCTCCTGCTGCTGGCTGGGGCCGCCTGGCTGCTGGCCCGCATCCTGACCTGGAGCTACAGACTGCATGACATCTGCTGCCGTCTCAGGTGTTTCCCGCAGCCCCCAAGGCGCAACTGGTTCTGGGGTCACCTGGGCCTGGTGAGTGTGGGTAGGAGACGGGTCTGGGGGATCAGGGAGGATGGAGTTCTTGAAGGATCTGGAATGGGGATCAGGGCTTGGGCTGGAGTCTGGGCCAGGGAAGAAGTTGGGAGACTAGCGGAGCTCCTCTTTACTCACTCATTCTTCTACTCTGCCATCCCAGGCCATTTACATATTTTTGCCCTCCCAACTTTGACCCGTTTCATCCACTTCCTGCCTCTCTTCCCTACATTAATGTCCCTCTGAAGAACTCCCATGGCAGGCTGCACAGGCACAGTCCCCTGGGGCTCCCAGGGCTCATAGGTAACTTAGACACCTTTTCAAGGGTGCTGTACTGGGAGGGGGTGTCCACCCCCTGCCTGGCCCATTCCCTTGTGTCTGCTCACTTGCCTACTGGTATTAGCTATGATCTCACCACCCTGACCCACAGGGGTCTAGCTTCCCACCCATACCCCTTCCCAGGGCAGCTTCCTCTTCCCTGCTAAGATGTCCCAATGGGCCCATTACCCAACCTGAATAAAGTTCACTGCTCACTTCCCCTTGCACAAGCTTTCTTTGACCCCTCTCCTGCACCCCAAATGTTGACTTTTGATATGGGTCTGCTATGCTTAATTAGAGAGTTAATTGTCCAATTACTTATCTTCCACCTATCCAACTAGATAGTTGCTCTGGGGAGCAAACACCTGAATGCCCAGCCCAGGGGCTGACATACAACAGACACGCTAAGTGTTTGATGACATAGGCGGTAAATTTGCAATCACCTGCCATGGTCAAGGCCATGATGAGCCTTGGATGAGCAGTTAGCTGCTCGCATCCACTGCTCAGAATGAGGACCATGGCTGGAGGAAGGACATTCTGTGATTTTACTGCTTATCGCTTAGGTTGGAACGGGACATTCTGGGACATATTGTGAAGGTTGCCTGAGATTCTGGGTCTTAGAACGTTCTTAACAAACCCTGGGCATAGCAGGAATGTTATCAATTTATTGTTTCCACTCCCCCTCCAGGGCTTGGCCAAGGAGGCTGGTCTGGGTCACTCTTCTCTAGTTCCTCTTGCTGTGTGAGCTCAGCTGAGTCACTCTCCCTCTCTGGACCAACCTCATAATTGCCTCAGGGTTCCTGGGGAGCAGGGAGCCATCAGAAAGGTGAAAATGCTTTCTGTTCACCTGTCCGTAGCACCTGAGAGTATTTGTCAGGCCAGGATGGGGCATCCTGGAGGGATGGAGAGGGACTGAAGAGGATGTATCTCTAGGAATTAACCATGCCCCCAATTCTCCATTTGGGGGATATGGCCTGGTTTCCTCATTCGTAAAGGGCACAATTGATCAGAGTTCATAAGTTCAGGGGTGATATATAGATAAAGAGATAGATAGACAGGATGCTCTATGCACAGCCTGGCCAGGCAGTAGGCACTCAAAGGTGGGAGCTACCCTCCTGAGTGATGAGCAGAGATACATCTGTCCCTTGGGGTCTTCCAGGGGCTGGAATGTCTTCAGACCCTTCACCGTGTGGGAGCTGGGGGTATATGGATTGGCCAGGACATGACAGGGTGTGGGAATGAGCCCCAGTACAAGTCTTGAGGCCACCCTGCTGACCACAAACCTCCCCCATGGGAACCTTGCTGGAATCACTCCCAGGAGAAGAAGAATCTCATCTCTCAAGCCATGGTCAGACTCTCTGTGGGCAGAGAGCGTGTCTTCTCCTTGTGACCTGGGTTGCAGCCTTGGGACATGGAGAGGCCTTTAGGACCCTCCTGTCCCCAGAGGGAAGGCAGAGGTTCCCTCCATCCATGCAGAATCTGGACACTCTGTCCACTGTAGAGGCTGCAGGGAGACCTGCTGTGGCTCCTTCTGGGGAGGTGACGGCCCCTGTTTCCTTGTAGGCCCCCCCCACGGAGCAGGGTTTGAGGGTCATAAGTCAGCTGGTGGCTACCTACACCCAGGGGTTCAAGTTGTGGATGGGTCCTATCAGGCCCCTGATCGTTTTGTGCCACCCCGACATGGTCCGGAGTGTCACCAGCATCTCAGGTACTCATGCGGAGCTTGTGGTGGTGGGTGCTTTGACACACCCCAGGGCTTCCAACCCCTCCATCTCCAAGCTTCCCTGCAGCCCCTGCAGGTCCCTGGGCCCTCCTCCTCTCTTCTCTCTCAGCCATCCTCCTCTTCCCTTCTGGTATTTGCCAACCCCGTTCTCTCCCTCTCCTCCCTCCACTGCTCAATTCAAGGCTCTGTCCTGGAGGAAACCCCAATCTTGAAATGATGGATCTAGACAGAGAGATTCCCAAACTGATGAGGTAAGGAATTGGCCAGAGGGAGATAGCTGTAGCAGCCCAGAGGAGAATCAAGGCCTCTGCTGGGGCAGACTGGGAGACTTCCTGGAGGAGGAGTTACTGGACCTGGGACTGGGAAAAGACCAAAAATCTTTTTTTTTTTTTTTTTTAAAGATTTTATTTATTTATTTGACAGAGAGAGAGGTCATAAGTAGGGAGACAGAGACAGAGAGGGGAAACAGGCTCCCTGCTGAGCAGAGAGCCTGATAAGGGCCTCGATCCCAGGACCCTGAGATCATGATCTGAGCCGAAGGCAGAGGCTTAACCCACTGAGCCACCCAGGCACCCAAGACCAAAAATCTTTTTAAAGGACAGGGCGGAGTGATGCAGCGGACACTGATAGCGTCTGAGGTCCCCTGCTGGGCCTGGTCTCACTCTGACCCATCCCCAGGGCCAGAGCAATGAGGGTTGTCACCTGGTGGAGTACCTGGGCTGCTATTTCTGTGACATCCATAGACATTCTGGTGGGTTTGTGCCTTCCACCCTAGCCTACAGCTTCCACTGCAAGTTCATTGCTTCCTTCCACTGCAAGTTCATCGCCCTCCTGCACCAGGCCCCAGGAATCTCCCTGAGGAGAGCCCACTCCAGCCTGGCTCCCTTCCTTATCTTCTGCTTCCTCTACCTCCAGACAGATCAGACTGAGCAGGGAAATGAGCAGCATCTGACAGAGACCCTGGCTTTTTAACACCTGAATTCTGGTTGACTCTGGGAAGGCCCCCTGTTCTCTCTGGATGCCAGAATCTCTTTCAGTTGTGAGTGGTAAAAACTCAATCCTATGTGGTCCAATCAAAGAAAGGACATCTATTTACAGTGAAATCCAGGGATGTTGTCTTCAGGTATGGCTGGATAAAGGTCTCAAACAACATCATCAAAATCTGTCTTCATTTTTTTGTTACTGTTATTGTTTCCCACTGTGATAGCTTCACTCTCATTCTTGTAAAGATGAGTCCCAGAAGCTCAAGCCCTGTGGAAAAGTGACCATTTTCCGAACAGTTACAGGAAAAGTTAAAGAATTCCCTTTAATTTTCCTGGCCTGCATCCCAGGGTCGACTTTTAATTAATTAATACATTTTATTTATTTATTTGAGAGAGGGAGAGAGAGAGAGAGAATGCATGAGCAGGTGGGGGGTGAGAAGGAGGGAGAAAGGGAGAAGCAAACTCCCTGCTGAGCAGAGAGCCTGATGTGGGACTCAATCCCAGTACCCCAGGATCATGAACTGAGCCAAAGGCAGATGCTCAACTGACTGAACCACCTAAGTGTCCCGATTTTTCATTTAATCACTGTGCATCTGATTGTCTTGTCTTGGCAAGCACATGTTCTCAGAGCTATTCTTTTGGGGCTCAAAGCAATTCCATGGCTAAGAATGGAGACTCTGCATTCAAAGACAGACCTGGGCTTAGATCTCTGGAATGTACTCAGTACCTGGGAAATTTTAGGCAAGTAACTTCATTGTTCAGAGCCTCAGTTCTCTTATCTGGAAATTGGGGATAGAAGAGAAGCCAGGTGAACTTGATGTTTAGGATCCAAAATGGGGAAAGACCCCTTTTGTTCTTGTAACCAAGGGACCCCAGTTGTCATATGGATGGACTAAGGAGGGAACCCAGGAGGAGGCTGAGCTGCCGAAGGGTATTCATGGGGTTCAGGTCTGGGTCTCTGTCCTGCATGTACTTCTATCCTATGGCCACCTAGAAAGAGTATGAATTGGGCCCTCTTTGTTCCTCTCCAGATTCAGAGCTCAGAGGAAGGTCTGCTGTACACACAGGACCTGGCAAGCACCTATGGGGATGTGTGCTGCTGGTGGGTGGGTCCCTGGAACGCGGTGATCCGCATCTTCCACCCCACCTGCATCAAGCCCGTGCTCTTTGCTCCAGGTAGACACACCATGACCATGGCTTACTCACTGCTGAGGTCTCTGTGCTGCTTCCAGCTTGGCTGGTGACCCAGTTGCAGATAGGAGGGGCTGTGGCAGAGATGCCACTGTCTCTGTCTCACTTACACTCCCACCGGCCAGATCCACAGTCATGTGTGCTCATGCCTAGGGTGTGATTATGCAGTGTGTGCTGTATGACCATGTTTAGTGACATTTATGTTTCCACCTGCCTTCTGGTTACAGCCGGTGTACATTACACTTGGTTATACCTGCCTGGTATATGGTTATACCTGCTATCAAGTGAAGGTGCCCTTTGTTATGTGTGGGGCTCGGCTGTGGCCAAGGATATTTGAGACATGTGTGGGTTTATCTGGTTTTTGTCCGAGATGCCATTTGAGATATCTGGTTCTCCTGTTGGTCATGTCTGGGCCATGTCTGGGGTTTGTCTGAGGTACGCGACCCAGAATTCTTCTGAGAAATGCTGAGGCTTTGTGTGAGTCTTGTCCAGAGCCTGTCTTAGGATATGTCTGTGTCATACCTAGTCCACAGCTGTGACATTAGTGGGGTCATATTTAAGTCTTGTCTGAGGCCGTCTGAAGGACATGCTGATGTTGTATCAAGTTGTCTTTGGGTCCATGTCAGAGCACGTTGCATCCTGTCGATGTGTGTTATGTACAATGTTTCATGTTAGGACGTGTTAACACATGGTGGGGCCATGTCAGTTGTTGCAGGAGAGGTCAGGAGTTCTGGGACAGATGAGGTGTCCTAGGACTCTGTAAAGGCATTTTGTGGAGTGCTGACTTGTGTTTGGGTGTTTTGAACACATTGGACCAGGTAGGAGCCTTGTCAATTGAGTGACAAGTGACAAGCCTTGTCAATTGAGTGGGGTGTTTTTTTGCCATGTTAGGGTGCATCTATGTACATGGGGTTATGTCTGCAGGCTCTGCCTTTGTTCTGCTCTGAGGTGCAGTCTGGTCTGGTCTCCCCTCACTTCCCCACTCCTCTCTGTTTTCTCTGCCCTTGTTTCCATTCCTGCTATGCTGGGCTTGGAGGGGGTATGGAGACTCCTGGCGGCAGCTTCTATCCCCCCAAACCAAAGCACTTCCCCTTCCCCTCTTATGAACCCTGATGGTCCTCCTTCATGTCAGCTGCCATCGCACCCAAGGACATGGTCTTCTACAGCTTCCTGAAACCCTGGCTGGGTGAGTAACTGTGGGTAAAGGGGACTGGGGACAACCTTGGGGGCCCAAAGAGGGCACTGTCCTTGCCTACTCCTCGTTGCTGTTTCTACTAGGGGATGGGCTCCTGTTGAGTGCTGGTGACAAATGGGGCAGCCACCGCCGCATGCTGACACCTGCCTTCCACTTCAACATCCTGAAGCCCTATGTGAAGATTTTCAATGGCAGTGTGAATGTCATGCATGTGAGTCTCTTGAACCCAAGGTCCCAGCTGAAGTCTTGGTGGTGATGGGGGCTCTGTGACATCTTGTCTGGAATACTGGCTCTTCTAGGTTAGCTTTGGGGCCATTGCTCTTCTTCTCTGAGTCTCAATTTTCTCAGCTGTAAAATGGGAGTAATGGTCCCCACATTGCAGGGTGGGAAAGATAATGAAATATGTTCATGTTTCTGGCACACAGTAGGTTCTTGGAAGGTGTTAGTTTTTATGTTTCCCTTGCAAAGCAGCCTTGGAACCTGAGACACAGTTTAATGTCATGAACATCATACAGTAGTTATTACTGAATTAATAATGAACCACTTTCAAAATCAGTGTTTTCAAATAATGAGGGTTTATTAGTGCTAACAAGTCTATGAGTTAGTTGTCAGGGTCTTCTGGACATGGATGGGGTCACATCCTTAGTCAAAGGTCACACCTTTGACTAGCTGTGGGTCAGGTATATACTTTGCAGATCTGGGCATTCACATGTTTGGGGTTTGGCTGGCTGCAGGTTGATCTAGGATGGTCTCAGCTCAGACAACTGAACTTTCTTTAATGTGATTCTCTCCTTCCAGAAGGCATCTCAGATTTGTTCACATGGCTGAGGCAGGGTCCCAAGAGGCTGAGAGGAAGTTTCAATGCCTCTTGAGATCTAGGTTTGGGAAGATCACTTCATTGTTTTCACCATGGTCTGTTGGTCAAAGCAAGGCAAAAGACCAATATAGAATCAAAAGATAATGAAAAAGACTCCACCTCTCAATGGAAATTGCTGAAAAATCACATTGCAGGGGGTGTGGCTATAGGGAAGTGAAGAAAAGGAGGTTGGGGTTTTGCAAAGTGCCTGGGATTTTTTTCATACTTGCAAGCTGAGGAGTGAGATTGGTATTGTTTTGTGGATTCTGTCAGAAGACAGGAGACTCCTGTTTCAGAGACAAAGGATGGTTTATTACTCATAGTACAGCAAGCACACATGCTTCTTGATTGCATTTTTTTCTCTAAGTCCCCAAGTCCCAACCTCCCTGGTGGTCTCGTGGTTAGGGTTTGGCGCTCTCTCTCCCAAGTCCAATGAGGCCAACACAGGTGGGCTTCAATGTTTATCCAGTATGTCACATGACAGGGCAGGGGTACTAGGTTTAGGGAATCTATGACTTTTAGGAAATTAGAAGGAAGTCTGACATTTGTCCAGAGGGAAATATTACCTTATCACTAAGGGTGTTTGCTGCAAACACAATTCTGAGAAATGGCTCAAGTAAAGAACATCAAGGTATTGCATTTTTTTGGCATACCATCTAGAATGTGCAGGGGTACTCAGGGCCCCAGGACTATCCACAGACTACCTTTTCTTAATTTATAACAATTAAAATGATGAAAATCAACATTTACTCAGAACTTATTTTACGCCAGAATCTATGTGTACATTCCACGGCATATGGTATCTCATTTGATTTTCACAACTTTATGAGGTAGATATAATCTTGTCCATTATAAGTGATAAAAATGAGGTTCAGAGAGGTTAGGGAGCTTGCCCATGTTCACACAGCTAGCACATGAGCTAATAAGTGGAGCTGGGATTCCAACCTGGTTTATTGTTCACCAGAGCAAGTCATCTTAACTGTTACTGAAGCTTTGGCATGTGGCGACCAGAGAGGGCAAGAATTGACCAAGGGCAATAGAGTATGGGAGGCAGAGCCAGAATTTGAACTCAGGTCTCCGGACTCCCAGGCATGGGGCCTTAATAGTAACAGTTTCTACTTCTACCCAGGCCTGGTCCTCCTTGAGGATGGGTGCCTGGAGCCAAGAGGCTGCGTTTGGGGGATTCCATTTTGGTGGCTGGTATTGGGGAGGGCTTCAGGGGAGGCAGGTTCCAGCCCCAGCTCTACCTCCTTCTCTTCCCAGGCCAAGTGGAAGCGCCTGGTGTCAGAGGGTAGCAACCATCTGGACATGTTTGAACACATTAGCCTCATGACCCTGGACAGTCTGCAGAAATGTGTCTTCAGTTTTGACAGCAATTGCCAGGAGTGAGTCTCTGCCCTGGGAATGGGAACATAAGCCATAGATGGGGGAAGGGAACACTGATCAGCACAATCAGAAAGGACTTCCTGGAGGAGATGGATCAGAAGTAGACATTGAAGGACAAGGAAGGGAAAGAGAAAAAGTGATCCTTTCAGGTAGTTAGAAATGTTTGATAAAGGACAAGGGGCCACGATGAGCAAATCATGTGCCACAGTGAGGAGCCACCTTGGGAATGAGGGTGGAGCAGTTGGGTGGGGCTGTATCTTAAGGACTTTCAAGATGCAGACAAAGGCATATGAACTTTATGCATGTGCCATTCCATATCATGGAAGGCGATGAGCCAATGATGGTCATGGTCAAAGCTGTTCTTGGACATCTGACTCTAGGGAAGACCAATTGCTGTGTAGATGGTGGATGGTATTGAAATTGAATGCAAGAGTAGAGAGAGGCCTGGGTCTATAAAGAAGGTAAAGTCTGAGCTGTATGGAGAGAGAGGAGAAATGCATAATGTCTCAGCTGGGATAGGGTGCCTGGGGCATGGGGGCAGTTCACAGAAATGGGAATCAGGGAGAGAAGAAGTTCTGGAGAGTTAAGTCTCCTGGATCATCCCCACCATGTACCTGTGGGACAATTTGTTTTCTGATACTCAGTTTTCTGATGGGAGGTAGCTCCCAGCTTCTGGTGGGAGGCCTTTTCTCAGTGTTGAGGTGAGCTAAGTTGTTGCCCCCCTTCATGTCCTCATCCTGCAGGAAGCCTAGTGAATATATTGCTGCCATCTTAGAGCTCAGTGCCCTCGTGGCAAAACGGCATCAGCAGATCCTCCTGCACACGGACTTCCTGTACTACCTCACTCCAGATGGACAGCGCTTCCGCAGAGCCTGCCGCCTGGTGCACAACTTCACAGATGCTGTTATCCAGGAGCGACGCCGCACTCTCCCCGATCAGGGTGTTGATGACTTCCTCGAGGCCAAGGCCAAGACCAAGACTTTGGACTTCATTGATGTCCTCCTGCTGACCAAGGTGTGTTTCTCTGGGATCTAAATATAAGAGGTGGAATGGACCTTGATTTCAAATTTCAGACTGAAGAACTTATACTTGATCCAGAGGGCAATGGGGAGCCATGGAAGCTGCTTGAGGAAGGGAGGGATGGATTAGGGATATGTTTTAGAGAAGACTATGTGGAATGCAGCCTGCAGTGTACTGTTAAGTCTGACAGTGGGATGGGCCCGAGATTTTACTCTACTTAATAAGGTAGGCTTGTGTGTGTGTGTGTGTGTGTGTGTGTGTGTGTGTGTGTTTATATACCAGAACCCTAGATCAGAGAAGCCCATTTATTGCTCACAAAAGTAAGAATAGACAGAAAGGCTACTTTGTAGGCATGGTTCCTCTTTCTGAAATTCTTCTGAGACCTACAGGATGCTTGTATGTGTACATGCATCCATGCTTCCATCACAGGAGCAGTAACCCTACATTATTAATCCTGGAATTTATGAAGGACTGCTGATACATCTGCCCCTTCTTCGTGTGTGTGTGTGTGTGTGTGTGTGTGTGTGTGTGTGCACGCGCGCGCGAGTGCGTGCGAGTGAGAGGGAGAGACAGAGAGAGAGAGAGTTTTAAAGTATAAGCAAGTCACTACTGGGTATTTACTCCAAAGATACAGATGTAGTGAAAAGAAGGGCCATCTGCATCCCAATGTTCATAACAGCAATGGCCACAGTCGCCAAACTGTGGAAAGAATCAAGATGCCCTTCAACGGATGAATGGATAAGGAAGATGTGGTTCATATACACCATGGAGTATTATGCCTCCATCAGAAAGGATGAATACCCAACTTTTGTAGCAACATGGATGGGACTGGAAGAGATTACGCTGAGTGAAATAAGTCAAGCAGAGAAAGTCAATTATATGGTTTCACTTACTTGTGGAGCATAAGGAATAACAGGGAGGACATTAGGAGAAGGAAGGGAAAAGTGGATTGGGGGAAATCAGAGGGGGAGACAAAGCATGAGAGACTGTGGACTCTGAGAAACAAACTGAGGGTTTTGGAGGAGAGGCGGTGGAGGGATGGGTGAGCCTGGCGGTGGGTATTAAGGAGGACACATGTTGCATGGAGCACTGGGTGTGGTGCATAAACAATGAGTCTTGGAACACTGAAAAAGTAAAATAAAATAAAATAAAATAAAGTACAAGCAAGTCCTCTTCACTGAGAAGGCAATGTCTATAGGTTCTGTTGGCTTATTGCCAGGGTAGATGAGGAATCTCTGGATTTACTATCCTAGAATGTGAGCAAATGTCTCTGGAGCAATGCTCAATCTCCAACTTCCAAGGGAAGTTGTCATTCAATCTCCTGTAATCTAGGTTGCCGGTAACTTTTTTCCCAGAAAGTTTTCATCATGTAGAAACATGAAAATATTCATGAATCATTGATTCCTTCCACGAGGGACAAAGGACGGGGTAAAGAGGCCTGGGAGGAGGGCTGTGGTGCGGGGTCTCTGGTGATAGTGAACAAAGGAGGTGTAAGAGTGCAGGTTGGGCTTGGGTCTCTGGATGGATGGTGGAGGTTCAGAGGTTGTCTCAGGTTAGGCTCAGGAGCTCTCAGAGCTGATGTGATTGGGTGCATGTGTGGGGGCATTTCTTTATTTCTCTCCAGGATGAAGATGGAAAACAATTGTCAGATGAGGACATCCGAGCAGAGGCTGACACCTTCATGTTTGAGGGTGAGCATCCCAGTGTGGGACTATGAGGGAGTGGGGCAGGGGTCTGGCAGGGGTCTGTCCAATCCCAGGAACTTGATAGGTGGGCCCTGGACCAGCCCCCACCCCCCACCCCATCCTCCCTGGGGGCCTTAATTAAAGGCGCTGTCCACCTTCTGGTGCTGAACAAGCCCAGAGACCCAAGCCTGTCTGGCTGCTTCTCAGGCCATGACACCACAGCCAGTGGCCTCTCCTGGGTCCTGTACAACCTTGCAAAGCACCCAGAATACCAGGAGCGCTGCCGGCAGGAGGTGCAAGAGCTCCTGAGGGACCGTGAGCCTCAAGAGATTGAATGGTGAGTGCAGGTCATCATGGTTTGTTCCTGAACCTCTCTTTGGCTTTGCTCCCCAGCTGGGGAAGGGGAAGAATCTTTTGGTTAATTCTGTCTTTATTGCTTAGGGAGAATAGGAGCAAAGCTCAGAGGCAGGGTCTGTGCCCAGTCTGGAGAGCAGGGGGAAATTGAGAAAGATTTGGGCTGCTGACAGAATAGTGACAATGTCTGAAGGCTGATGATGCCACTTAGTACATTTTCATTAAATGAACCTCCATTCCATTCTCTTACTTTTCTCTCTTAAATCAATTTTTTTTGTCCTTAACATCTTCACTCCTTAAATGTTTGCTTCTCTCTTGCCTTCTAATTCCTTCCATATTGTTCAGTTCAGGATTCATAGGGGATACGTGGTTTTAAAATCATTCAATTCTTGTCCAGGAATACCAGCACCTTCATCCATCCAGCCTCCATTCAGAGAACACTGCCACACTACCTTTCCATTCCCAATTCTGTACCTTCTCCAATTCATCCTAGCTCATTCTGTGTGCTGGAGATCCAAGAAGGACCAGACCTGGCCCTTGTGTTCCAAGAGCTCCAGACTTGTGGGGGAATTGTCTCAGGCCAGGACACTCCTGGTCCACATAGGCTGGACTAGGGTGGACAGTATGAGAGGCAAGTCTAAAGGTAGAGAGAGCGCCTTTGCTGGGACTCGGAGTGATGATTGGTAGATATTTGGGTGTAGTTAGGGTGCAGTTAGTTCAAGAAGACAGAGTGGGCAAAGTGAAGAAGAGTAGAGGAAGGGAAGAGGGAAAGGGAGAAGAGAGGGGGAAGGAGGGAGAAAGGGAGAGATAGAGAGAAGGAGAAAAGGAAGGAGGGAGAAGAGAGAAAGATAAAGAGAGGCAGACAGGCAGACACATAGGGGGAGAGAGAAATAAAAAGAGAAAGAGACACTGACTCATGGTGAGGTGACATGGCTGGGGAATGGTAGCAGAGACTCGTTGTGGGAGACTTTAGAACCAATGTCATTGGCCTCAATTGTTAACCCAAGGGCAATGGGGGAACTGTGGGGATTATTTGAGCAGGAGGAGGACAGGTCAGATCTGGGTACCAGGAAGATCTTTCTAGGGCTAGTGTGGAGAACATACTGGAGAGGACAAGCTGTAGCATGGGGACCAGAGAGGGGATTTTGAGGCCTGGGTCAGGCCAGGGGCTTGGGGATGTAGAGCAGGCATTGGACTGGACAGGCATCTTATAGGTAGTATTTTCCATGCCATGACTTCACTCAGCATAGCAGCCCTGTGAGGTAGAATAGAGAAACACTTTTATGCTGTTTCAACCAAGATTTCAAAAAAAGCTATACACTTGGTTAAAAAAATGTATATAAAAAGAGAATTTATAATCAGGGCACCTGGTTGCTCAGTCGGTTAAATGTCCAACTCTGGATTTTCACTCAGGTCATGGTCTTGGGGTTGTGAGATTAAGCCCTGTGTCCAGCTCCACACTAAGCATGAAATGTGCTTAACATTATCTCTTTCTCTCTCCCTGCCTCCCTCTCCCCCTCAAATAAATTAATAAATCTTTAAAAGAAAGAGAAGGTTTATAATAGAAATGAAGTTTTTCTTAATCCTCACCCTAGGAGTAACTCCTATTAATGATTTCCTGTGTGTCCTTCCAGAAGACGACTATCCTTATACCTACATGAAAACTATCTCCCTACCCCCGCCAATGGGAATTAAGGTTTACACATTAGCAGAGAGTCTTTGAGATCTTTTCATTTCCTCAAAACACAACTGTTGGAAAAGAGTTTTGAATTACAAAAACAATGATGAGAACAAGTTCTTGCCCTGAGACATAAAGGAGACTACAGTTATCATTGACGTCCTCCCCCTCAGTTGAGTCTCCTTCTCTCTCCCCAGGGATTTCTAGATTCATTGATTTATCATGTGTCTTTCCATAACTGTCTATCTGTACATCTATCTCTCTATCATCTCTATCTGTCATCTCTCTCTCTCTCATCTTTTTGTCCTTAACACATTTTGCATTTCCATATACATACAGTTTGTGACTTGTTCCATTCACTCAACATGTATCTTATGGCTCTTTCTTTCTGTGTTCTGCATAGCTGCCCATAGCTTACTTGGTTCACCCCATTATGAGGTCACTCATGTTAGTATTCTCAATTATACTGGACATTGATGAATTGCCTTCCAGAGTCTCTGCGCTGATTTACCTTTCAGCCTGCGGTGTGTGATAGGACTTCAGAGCTCTAGTTCCTCCTTTTTGATTGCTGTGTAATATTCTACCATATGGCTTTACCATAATTTATCTAGACCTCTCCCATTGATGGATACTTGGATTGTGTCTAATCTTTTCATAAAATAAATATGGGGTAGTCAACATCTGTGAACACTGACACATGCTTACACATGTGAATGTCTCTCCAGTGCAAATTTCCGGAAGGGTAATTGCTGAGTCAAAGACAGTCCAAGTTTTTATCATTTTAGTAGCTATTGCAAATCTGTTCCTGTCCACTGAAGTTGATGATGCCAGCTTTCTCATACCTTTACCTTTGTTATTATTGTATTGAATTTTATTTTATTTTATTTTTAAAGATTTTATTTATTTATTTGAGAGAGGGAATGAGAGAGGGAAAGAGAGAGTGTGAGAAGGGGAAGGGTCAGAGGGAGAAGCAGACTCCCCACCAAGCAGGGAGCCCAATGAAGGACTTGATCTTGGGACTCCAGGATCATGACCTGAGCTGAAGGCAGTTGCCTTACCAACTGAGCCACCCAGGTGTCCCTGTATTGAATTTTAAATCTAAGCCAATTTTTCATATTTCCTCTTTTTAGGAATGTTTTTTTAAATTAAGAGTCTTAACATCTTTTGCACATTTTGGGGGGCTACTCCCAAAATTTTTTAATATTGAGGTATAATGGACATACATTCTATTACTTTTAGGTATACAAGAAATGAGTTGATATTTGTATATATTGCAAATGATCACCACAATTATTCTAGCTAAAATTTGTCACCATATGTAATTATGGAATTTTTTTCTTGTCACGTGAACTTTTAAGACCTATTCTCTTAGCAACTTCCAAATATGCAATACAGTGTGATTACCTACAGTATCGTAGTCAATACACTTTCTGAGTTAGAGTTTTCATCTTCTTTGGATAACTACCCAGAGGTGAGATTGCTGGATAGTGTGGTGGTTCTGCTTTTTAATTTTTTTGAGGAAACTTCATACTGTTTTCCACAGTGTTCTGAATCAATTTACAATCCCACCAGCGGTGCACAGTATTCCTTTTTCTCCACAACCTCATAGGCATTTATTATCTCTTGTGTTTCTGATAATAGCTATTCTAACAGCTGTGAGGTGTGAGATGAGATCTCAATGTAGTTTTGATTTGCATTTCTCTGATAATTAGTGATTTTGAGCACATTTTCATGTACCTGTTGGCCATCCATGTGTCCTCTTTTAAAAATGTCTATTCAGGTCCTTCTTCTGTGCACGTTGATAAGCCATTTGTATTTCACTTTATGTGAGCAGTACTCACCTTTTTTGTTGTTTCTCTGAGTTTTTCTCTTTTTTCATGTTTACTTATAATGACTCACTTAAAAATAATCCTTTTCTGTCTTGTGTTGCAAAAGATAGCCTTTTGACTTTTGAGGGAGCACTTTTGGTTAATTTTTATGGAGACACATTTGTCTAAACTTTCTTTCACAGCCCTACTGTCTGTCCTTATTATAGTGTTTTGTGCACTTCCCTTACCAGATGGTAAGGCTTCACTTACTCACATCCTCTGTTGCATGAGTCTCCTTTCCTGTTCTTGCCACACAACACTGTGTGTTTCTTTGTTTGATCACTGCATCTTTGTAGTAAGTCTTAATGTCTGGCAGAGTGAGTTTCTCTTCCTTAATCTTTCATTTTTATTTTTTATTAAAAATTTTTTTAAAAAAGATTTTATTTGTTTATTTGAGAGAGAGAGAGAGAGAGCAGAAGCAGGGGAAGTGGCAGGTGGAGAAGAAGAATCCCCATTGAGCAAGGAGCCCGACTTGGGGCTCAATCCTCCGACCCTGGGATCATGACCTGAGCTGAAGGCAGATGCTTAATTGACTGAGCCACCCAGGCACCCCTTCATCTTTATTTTTATTATTTTTAAACATTTATTTATTTATTTATTTGAGAGTTGTGGAGGGGTTGAGGGAGAGGGAGCCTTAAGCAGACTCTGTGCTAAGTGTGGAGCCTGACATGGGGCTTGACCCCACAACCTGAAATCCTGACGTGAGCCGAAATCAAGAGCTAGACGCTCAACCAACCACCCAAGTGCCCCCTAATCTTTTCCTTTTAAATTGACCTAATTCTTCATGATCTTTTATCCTTCCAGAAATGTTTTAGAGTAAGGTTATCAAGTTCCTAAAGACTTCTGGTAGATTTTCACTTGAACTGAATATATTTTATTGGTTGAGGTGAATATATGATTGACTTGTAGAAATGGATCACTTCATGATTTGAACACATACCATCCTAGATTGTGGCAGGAATACTCCCATTTTTGGATATCTGAATACTCTTTAGTCTTTTAATAAAATCTAAATTTTTAAATCAGATATCTTATGCATATTTTGTTAAATTAACCCTAAGACACTTCTGTATCTTAGGGTTAAGATATGAAGACTCATATCTTCATATTATGACAAGTTTAAAAATTCATTGGAACATACAGATTTCAATCTCTATATTTTTGGGGGGGCTAAGCTTAATCCAGGTATTTATAGCATCATCATCATCATCAATCTTTTACTTTATCTTTTCTAATTGATTATTATTTCAACATGGAAAACTAATTTTTTAATATACATATAAATTGTGTGTCCAGTGGACATAGTAAATGCTAAGTATGGAGTCCCATATTAAATCTTTTTTAAAAATCTCTTGGAATAACTGGGGAGCTACCCAGAGAAAAGTTCATTCAACCTGATCTTCATGTCTTATAACAGATAACATCAAGATGGAATCAAATATTTAAAATAAAAAAAGGCGCAGTGGGTTAATCCTCTGCCTTCAGCTCAGGTCATGATCTCAGGGTCCTGGGATGGAGTCCTGCATCAGGCTTTCTGCTCAGCAGGGAGCCTGCTTCCTCCTCTCTCTCTGCCTGCCTCTCTGCCTACTTGTGATTTCTCTCTCTGTGTGTCAAATAAATAAAAATCTTAAAAAAAAAGTGTCTTAAAAGCTCTAGAGGAAACTGTGGGAAATTATTTTATAGTTCCAGAATATGGATGCCCTTATTTTTTTTTTTTAATTTTATTTGTCGGAGAATGAGAGAGAGAGAGCGACACTGAGAGAGAACACAAGCAGGGGGAGAGGGAGAGGCAGGCAGAGGAGAAGCAGGCTCCCCGCTGAGCAGGGAGCCTAGCGCAGGACTGGATCCCATGATCCTGGGATCATGACCTGAGTCGAAGACAGATGGTTAATGACGGAACCACCCAGGTGTCCCAAGGCTGCCTTTATTCTTGACACAAATCTCAGGAAGTATACAAGAGAAGATTGCTCTACCATTGAATGAAAAAATACAGAGCAGTGTGCGTAATATATAGTATGCTACTCTAAAAAATTTTTAATGCAAAAAGTAACTCTGAAAGGACAAATAAAAAATAAGAACCTAGGCAAACTGTGAGAATGGGAAATGAATGGTGTTGAGTCAGAGGGGTGTGTTTTATAGTTTTCCAGTTTGAAATACTTAACAATATCAGCTGTTAAAAATTGAAATCACCACACAATTTGAAGGGGATCAGAGAAAAAGAATCCAACCCCCTTACTTTATCTTCAATGTTTATAAAATTTTCTGGTATAATCTCTTGTGTTTTCTAAGCATAGAATCACTATCTGCCAAAAATGACACATTTACCCCCACTTTTCAGATTGCATTAACTGTCCTTTTTGCTTTTGTCTAATTGCATTAGCTAGTATCTCTAATGCCATCATAGAACTATGGCTGTGTTTTGGTTGTTTCTTACTCGTTTGGCTTTTGATTTTGCTCTCTCGCAATAAACAGTATGTAATTTTTATGCAAATTTGTAAACCTTTTTATGGTTGGCTTTTGGGTATTGTGTTTTGCTCAGAAAACCTTCTAGAAACACCCAGCTAAATTTTCCCTCTACTTCTGTGATGCTGCTTTTCTTTTTTCTTTTAAAAAACCACTTTATTGAGGTGTGGTTGACATATCAAAAGCTGTATATGTTTAATGTACAGAACTCAGTGAGTTTGGAGATATTTGATCCACCTGGAATTTATTTTGGTATAGGGAGAGAGGATCTCATGGGGCATGTTTTTGCTGCGTGGATAATTGTTGGGGGTGCTTCCTTAGGGACGACCTGGCCCAGTTGCCCTTCCTGACCATGTGCATCAAGGAGAGTCTGCGGTTGCATCCCTCAGTCACAGTCATCTCCCGCTGCTGTAGCCAGGACATTGTGCTCCCAGATGGCCGGGTCATCCCCAAAGGTGCCCACAACCTCAGGGGGAAGGAGCCTCCTGGGCAGGAAGAGGGGCCCATCAGGCAGGGGGAAACTCTTCCTGACTGGCTCCTTGTCTCCCACAGGTGTTACCTGCCTCATTAGTATTTTTGGGACCCACCACAACCCATCTGTGTGGCCAGACCCTCAGGTGCTGCATCCCCCTCCAAACCCACAGCACACCCTCCTCTTTGTCAATTCCCCTAGGGGAACCTAGGGGAGGGCGCAGGGTTCTGACCTGGCAAATCAAACATCACCTCCCCCTACCATACACGTCTGCCTCTCCCAAGCTTACTGTCCTGGGAAACCTCAACCAGCAGCCCTGCCTCTCTCCACCCTTAGGTATACAACCCCTTTCGCTTTGACCCAGAAAACATCAAGGAGAGGTCACCCTTGGCTTTTATTCCCTTCTCTGCGGGGCCCAGGTGAGCTCAGGGGGTATGGAGGTGGGAATGCGGTGGTGGGGCAGGGGTCTGGGACTGAGATCCCAGACAAGGCTATGGGGCGGGAAAGGGGGAAATTGAGGATGGCTCTCCTTCTCTCCCCTCCTCCAGAGGTTAGAGGTAAGGGTCTGGGAAATGGGGGTAGGGTAGGTCCAACGAGGGGTCCGCGTTATGGGCCTCGCCCCTTCCCCCGTCTGCTGGCCTGAGTCCAGGACTGGGGTCCGAGCCAAGCTCGGGGATAGGCAAGCCCACATGGGGGTCCCAGGCATGGTTTGTTCCCCTCCTGGATCCCTGCGGGCGGGGCAAAGGGTCCCGGACCAGGTTCTGGGCGCCATGGGGCCTGCTGGGGTCCCTGGCGAGTCAGAGCCCCCACTGGTGCCCGCAGGAACTGCATTGGGCAGACGTTCGCCCTGACCGAGATGAAGGTGGTTCTGGCGCTGACGCTGCTGCGCTTCCGGGTCCTGCCGGGCGAGGAGGAGCCACGCAGGAAGCCGGAGCTGATCCTGCGCGCGGAGGGCGGACTCTGGCTGCGCGTGGAGCCGCTGAGCGCGGTACCCCGGTGATCCAGACCCTACACGCCTCACTTTGCGCATTCCCGGGAATGAAACTGTGCCATCTCCTCTGTCCGAGCTTCATCGAGAGCCAGCAGGGGGCGCTTGGGACCTGTGGGAACGCAGGGGTGGGTGAGGCGGGGTGGAGGGGAGCCTGGTGTCTGAGCCCAAGACCCTGACAGCCTTTCCAGGTGACTACAGGCCCCATGCTGATTTCGGGTTCTCCCAGAATCAAACCTGTGGTTACTCCAGATTTCCAATCAACAGATAAAAAATAGAACAAAGAAAAGCATGCTAAAACTCTCGCCTCTCCAGGTGGTCTCTCTCATTTCAACACCTGGCAAGGGGGCTCCAGACTCCTGCCAGCCCTCCATCCATATGATGTGGTTTGAAGTTTGGGGTTCAGAGCCCCCCGCCAAGAAAGAATTCTTGACATCTTTGGTGCAAAAAGGTGATTTTATTAAAGCACAGGGACATGAACTGCTGCTCTGGGACTGTGAGGAGCAAGTGATTATATACTTTGTGACTTGGGGGAGGTAAAGATAAAGGGAAATTTCTAAGTTGAGTTTCCTATGGTAAAGAGTCGCAGGATACTAGAGGCCTACGTATTATCAAGCTAAGGTTTTTTTTTTTTCCTCTCTAGCAGAGCATTAATATTAAGATAGTTGGGTGTTTACTGGAGGAATGTATATCTGCCTGCTTGAAGTATTTGCCAATGGGCTGCAGGTCATAAAGAAATTTAATTTTATCTTTATTTCCTTCTGCCTTAGTTCCCCACATCAACCCCCACCCCCAAGTTTTGGCCCTAAAATCTTTAAGGTTGCTGAGGATGGAAGGCTTCTCTTCTGTAACTTCTTCCTGCTGAATAGGGGCATAGAGATGTCCTTACCTTTGGGTGGACATTGGTCAGTTGGAAATAGGAGTTAACCTATTAATATAGGAGTTACCAAAGGCAGAGGCTGCCAATCCAAGGTAGACAACATATGTGAACCTCCTTGAGTAGAAAGAATTATTTGTTGGCTGGAAGTTATGGCTGTGAAGGAGTCTTGGCACCAGGCAGGAAGACATCAGAAAGGACAACAAAATAAGGTTAATATTATATTAAGAAAGAGAAGCCTGAAAAAACCCCCAAAACTTTGATAATTGACCAAAATCTTTCTCCAGTCCAGGAGTTTAACCAGTCACTAAAGGAAAGAGAGCGAGATCATTTAAAGTGCAATTTGAATATCTATATCTTTTAGCAATATCTTTTGGTGATATCTTTTAAGTGATATCTGGAATCTTTTGGTGGTATCTGAAATTCATACCCAACATTTTGTTTCTATGCTCGCGTATGTTCCATCTTGTGTAGTTAAAATACCTAATACCATTTTGAGAGTCATTTAAGGACTTGTTGACATAGCAAGTGGTGTTATCCATCATACACTCTGTTTTATTTAGCAAGCAATCAGGTAGTTAATAAGAGGCACCTTTATGGAAACAAAAGAAAAAAATATAGTTTAATGGTCTGAGCAATTATAAACCCGGAGTCAAGTGCTTAAAATCTAATAGCTACAAAGATGTGTTGTTGAAATATTTTCTTTCTGTAATAACCCTCATTTTTAATCTGAAATAGCCAAATCAGGACCAATTCATTTGAAAAACGTCCAGTTTTTATAAACTTGGCCTAATTATTTATGCAAGCTTAGCAAGAATAATGTTTGGCTATATAGATCTTTCAAAATCTGCTTTGCTGGAACTTTCAAAAGGAATCTCAACTGAATTTTGTAGCTTCTCTAGGCCAGAAGCCAAGCCAAGCGCTTGTCATCAGACATGGCTGCAGTACCTGTAGATTTGGGTGAATTCCTCTCCATGAGGTCCCTAAAGTATTCTGAGTTTCCTGCACCTGCCAGGAAGTGACATTCTATACTTACCTGGTGAGGCTCCTGGGAACTCTATAAGCAGGTATCAGGCCAACAGTTCCAAGGGGCTTTATGGTTCTTCATTTCATAAAGTCAACGTTAGTTTCTTAAAGCTGTTTGGTCATACCTGAGTCTATGCATGCCTCTCTCAAATATGACATTCCAGTCAAAGCCTTGGTAAAATAACCAATGTTTCCAATGGTGTCCTCTTACAAGGAGAGCAGATTCTTATTGAACTTATGCAGATAGCTGTAACTGCCCTTAAAAGAAAGAACATTCACTGAGACCTTCTGAATTTCAGAGGGTTCAGGTAGAGAGAGAAGTTAAAGTCTTCAGTTTGTTCACAGATGAATTTTTTTTTTCCTATTTCTGTAAGTCATAGATACTTTAAGAAAAGGTTTCCTTAGTCTGGAAAAGCAAACATTAAGAGAACCAGGAATGTTTCAAACAAGGGTCACAAAAGCTGTCATCTTCCTCAGTTTAGTTAGTTCCATGTTACTAATTCTTGTTCAGTTTGAATGTAGCTTTTAGTTAGTTCTCAAAATTAAAAAAAATTTTAAAGATATCAAACCCTATATTTATCAAAAACCCCTTTTTATGAATCTCCTTGAAGATGAAACATGTTTCACAAGAGAATACAAACAATAACTATGTATGAATGGACATACATTATAAATGGACATAGTTAAAGATCTGATGAGCAGTTACAACATAACTGGCAAGGAAATCCAGTTATTTCTGACAACTAACACTTCAATAATTAGGACATCAGGTGATGGCCTTATATCAGAATATATTAAAACTTTGGGAATTTCGTCTATCTCTAGAATAGTTATAGTATTTACCCAAGCAATACAACCCAAGGCTTATCACTGACAGAGCTTTCCAAGTAACTTAACACACCAAATAAAAAAGCCAAGGAGTCAAAGACTTTCAATTGAAACCCCAGGGGATTTTGTTAAAAAAACCTCAGAAAGTTATAAAGCATATGCTCAAATAAAATTACAGATCATTACAGAATTTAAACCTTAATTATTTGTTTAACCAAGGTGGCAAAAAAGGGATTCCAAAGGTAAATATGTAAGCTTATATAGTCGTTAACAAAACTCAGATCCCATAACATTGAGAAGCTTTAACTAAGTGATCAAAGACCTGATAAAGATGAAACATAGAAAGTGGTTTTCTGGGCAGACAAAAGAGGAGAAAAACTCTTTGTTTCCATTTTCTTATCGAGAACAGACCAACAATTTAAGAAAACTTTGTCTCTTGAACAGAGAGAAAAGCAGAATTTTTATCTTATATCAGTGTACTTTAAAAATTATTATTATTATTATTATTATTTTTAAAGGTTTTATTTATTTATTTGAGACAGAGTGAGAACACAAGCAGGGAAGAGGATCAGGGGGAGAGGGAGAAGTAGACACCTGTTGAGCAGGGAGCCTGATGTGGGGCTCAATCTCAGGATGCTGAGATTGTGACCCAAACCGCAGGCAGATGCCCAACCACCTGAGCCACCCAGGTGCCACTATTATTATTATTTTTTATTAACATATAATGTATTATTTGCTTCAGAGGTACAGGTTTCTGAATCATCAGTCTTAGACAATTCACAGCACTCACATACCCTCCCTGATGTCTGTCACCCAGCCACCCTATCCTCCCCCTGCCCCCATTCCCCAGCAACCCTGTTTGTTTTCTGAGACCAAGAGTCTCTTAAGGTTTATCTCCCTCTCTGGTTTCATATTGTTTCATTTCCCCCTCCCTTCCCCTATGATCCTCTGTCTTTTTTCCCTCAAATCCTCAAATCAGTGAGATCATGTGATAATTTTCTCACTCTGATTGACTTATTTTGCTAAGCGTAATAGCTTTTAATTCCATCCACATTGCTGCAAAAGGCAGAATTTCACTGAATCCAATTCTTAACTGCAAAATTTAAATGCAAGTAAATAAAAGTGTTGGGAAGTAAACTTCCCACTAACACTAAAGGAGAGAAATCTCAAGAATGACTGCTTAAATTGAAATGACCACATTTGGGAGGAAGTTGTGGGAGTTTGGAGGCTAAACTGACCAGAAGACATGAGGCACATGGGCTGAGATTAGTCTAGGGAGTGTCCATGGCCTTGAACAGAAAATCACCTTTGGAAAGGCTGCTCATTCTGCACCTAGTTGCCTGGATTCTTTCTCCCACCATTTTATTTGATGATAAACTATCTGCAGATTTCAGTCTCTGTGCTGATGTAGGAAGGAAGAGAAATGTGGGAGGTCTGAAGGCAGCACTTTACTTTCAAGGACAGGAAGAGATTAACTGAGCACAGTGGGGACAGCTCAGGGCAGAGTGGGCTGCCGCTGATCTGAGGGCATGTGCAGTGTCTGTGGGCTACATTAAAGCTCACAACTCTGGGATCTGAGCCAGGCTGCAGGAAACAGGTGAGATAAGAGCTGGGTAATGTACACCTTTACTCCACCCTGACAGGCTGGACTATGGGTTTATGGTTCTTCTCCTTTGATCCATTTAGCTTCCACTCCCAATATTCCTCTGTACAGAAGGCTCAGCTGTGTGTGAAGAATTTTAAGGCAGTACCATAAGCCACAATTTTTCCTAGGATCCAGAGTCTAGGCAGAAGGAGGAGAGGTGAAGGTGTAATCTCTTCTCCCTTATCAGGAAGGAAATCAGCATCAGAAAATTCACTCTCAGTGGGGTCAGAGGGTGAACCTGGAAATCCACGGGTGAAAGTGTGTCCATGGGGGACTGGGAGCTCTCCACTCTCCCCTGCCCTCCCTTGAATGAATTTCTCCCCAAGATGATGGGAACAAAAATTTAATCCCTGGAAGTTCCTTGCCTGACAGAGACTCTGATTCTGTTTCTGGTGGTCACTTTCCTCAGTGTTACTCTGACAAAGAGGGAAGAGGCTGACCTGCTAGAATCCAGGGTGACTGGAGTGACCCAGGCCTCCCAGTGTCCATCACACAAATGAAGGAGCCCACCAAGCTGGGGAAGAGATTGGAGAAGAAAGAGTGGTCATAGAGTTAGGGTGGACTGACTGCTGTGGGAATGGGATGGAGGCAGAGGGGAGCTGTGTCCCCATCTCAATCTCCAGCTTGGGAAGCACC